TGCTACGTTAAACTAACTGTGCTGCCATGGGCGCCTGGGTGGCTCAGTCAGTTGACCATCCGACTCTTGGTTTCGGCTCGGGTCATGATCTCATGGTTTTTGAGTTCGAGCCTCACATCAGGCTTCAAATGGGTGGTGCGGAGCCTGCTTGGGATTCTCTCTCTCCGCCCCTCCCCCTCTCACTCTGTCTCTCTCAAAAACAAATCAACTTAAAAAAACTAAAATAAAAAAATGAACTATGCTTCTAGAAAACCTTGAAAGAAAAAAATCTAAAGCTCTCCGATGAGGAAAATGAAGAAATGTTACATACTGTAATTAGAGAGGCAGTCCGATAACTAAAAGTAAGGTTCTGCAGGAAGAAGTGAGGATCCCCGAAATGCCAGAATTTCCTGGCTCTGTGGGGCCACTTAACCCATTCCGGGCACGGGCAAGGAGCCTCTGGACAGCTTCTGAGGAGACCCCCTCACAGTCCTCTCTCCTTCCCTAACCTCTCACCCAGTCTCTCAAGACAGTTTGAATCCCTGCCCCATATCCACTGGCCACGCCCCTGCCCAGTGGGGAAACTCGAGTGATCAATGCCACCAGCCAGCCTGGCCTAGTCCAACCGTCAACTCTGGGTGCAGGGGAAGGGACAGTGGTAAAGCACTCTGGAGCAAGAATGAGTGTTTTCAGAACCACGAATGAGTCTGGCATACTGGAACACCTGGGTACAAGTCAGCTGAGAGAAAGCAGGAGTGCTCTGAACCTGATTAAGGCAAAAGGCACAGAGCTGTTTGGAGGGGCTTGGAGGGTCCTTGAAAACGAGCACGCTTACCTTGTGAGAGTCTCTCCCCCTGGGGACTGATGAGCTGAGGCTTCTGGGCCATTGCATTCCAATACTGGGGCTTCCCTGGCAACACCCCCAGTCCAAGATAACCAGGATAGAGCTCTGGAAACCACTCCAGGCCCAGGGAGCTTGAGACGCCCTTCCTGCCAGCCACGCCCACCTGACTGAAGGGGCTGTCAGAGGCGTGGAGCAGGACTGAATGTGAAGGCTGCTGGCACCCAGGTTGTGATGCCTGGGGCCCACAGCCCGGTCCGTGCGGTAGAGGAGCTCGCTCACTACGCTCTGTGAACACCTTCATATCAGGGACTCGGTGAGGACTGCAGGCTGCTGCTTTTTCTTCTTGAAAAAATCGGACAGCCAGAGAGGCCAGATTTTGATTATACGACTGTGATACAGAAAGTAGCTCACCGCAAGTCGTCTCCCTTGGAGTGAACGAATTTAAATCGGGACCTTCGTCTCGACATTTCTTCTCTGTGGCCGAATCACCACCACTGAAGTTCTTTGCCCGTTCCTGCGTGTCTGTCACAGATACACTTTTCTCTGCATTTCCTGTGCTCCCTCTTGCCTCTACTCCAAGGTCAAGTCCTTCCCCTTGGTTCTCCCTGATGTGGATTTCACCTAATGGGCTAACTTTAAAATTTAAAAATTGTGATTCTATTCTCTTTTCTTGAATCTCAGGGTCTCTAACATCACTAGAGACTTCTAAGAGGTGGTCCCTGGCCTTGGACTCTGTCTCATTGCTTGACAAGGACGTTCTTACTCTTTCAATCCCATGATGGAGATTCATGGGAGAACTACGATAATCACCATTAGCTGTACCTACTAACTTTACTAGAAGTTTCTGTCTTGGGGGATCAATTTTGTCCAATCTTAAATCAGGAGAAGTGGTCTGTACATCACTGGGTAAGGTTGAAAGTTTTCTATCTTGATTTGATGAAGAAGGTTCTACTGGGCCAAGAGGTAAAGATGCTTTGGTTTCTGAAAGCTTAATTCTACTCTCCCCCAATGGAGGCAAATCTTTGGGAAGTTCTTTGTTAGGAGTGGTATTTTCTGATGCATAAAACTGAGCCTTGGTTTCTCCCTGGAAAGCAACCTTTGGTTCAGTATCTTTTAGCATTTTGAGGGAGCACCGAACTCGATTCTTGAGGTATTCATCTGCCTTTGTGTTACTTGCTCTTTCTAAACCAACGGCCGGTAGTGGAAAAGACTTCACTGTCCGTTCTGGTTTGTCCTTTATCAACTTGGTATTTCTTTTTTCACTCCTGGTCTCTAATTCTCTCTCTTTAGTGTTATTTAAATCTGTGATTGGTCTTTTCCTGCTTGTAGCATGTGGGCGTGTAGCTAGCTTGGACTGACAAGCTTTGTGATCAGCAGGTACAGTCGGCCTTATCATCTTACAGTGTGGCAAGTGGGATTTTAATCGTTTAAATGGCTTCTTACAGTAAGGACACACTTCCATCCTGGCAGAATATCACTCTCTTATTCCTGAAAAAGATAAACAGGAGATTATGAGGGGCACAGAGTTCGTAAAGTAAATACTAATATTTCATTTACATGTGTACCTTTCATTTGGAAGAACCCAGGTCGAAGGAAATTTAAAAAAAAAAAAATGTTTTTTTTTTTAATTTTTTTTTTTTCAACGTTTTTTATTTATTTTTGGGACAGAGAGAGACAGAGCATGAACGGGGGAGGGGCAGAGAGAGAGGGAGACACAGAATCGGAAACAGGCTCCAGGCTCCGAGCCATCAGCCCAGGGCCTGACGCGGGGCTCGAACTCACGGACCGCGAGATCGTGACCTGGCTGAAGTCGGACGCCTAACCAACTGCGCCACCCAGGGGCCCCCAAAAAAAAATGTTTTGATTCATTTTCTTACAGAAATAGGAAACAGAAGACATAGTTGGTTTTAAGATAAATACTCCTGGCTCCATTTATGCTTGGCATTATACATTTCTTAAAGTCTTCTAGGAACCAATCATCAGTAAAAGACAATCAAAGAGGTTTTACATCCCTAGCTAGTAGCTGAGCAAAGCTAAAAGACTGAAACCTAATAAACAACGGTTACTGGAAGAAAAAGTTGTCCAAACTAGCAGTCAGATTAAAATGTTTGCTATTTAAAGTTACAGCAAGTCAACTGGGTATTACACGAGTATAAAAAAATTGTCTGAAGCCCTTAAATATACCACTTAAGGAAAGAATGGTGAATTCAGGCCAAGATCTGAAGGCTGTTGACTAGAGTCATGTTTTCCAAGTGGTATATGGAAGATCCACAGAGGTGCAAGAAGAAAATATTAGAACTTCCAGGCTTTCAGCATGAGAAATGAAGCTGTACTAACACTTCCCATATTAGTAAAACACATGTACACCCATACACATATATATAAAACTATGTGGGGGTGCCTGGTTCACTCAGTTAGTGTCCCACTCTTCATTTCAGCTCAGGTCACGATCCCAGGTTTGTGGGACTGAGCCCCACGCTGGGCTCCATTGTGAGCGTGGAGCCTGCTTAAGATTCTCTCTCTCACTCGCTCTGTCCCTCTCCTGCTCACACTCATGTGCATGCACTCTCTCAAAAAAAAAGTATGTGCGATGCACTAATAATATATAGGTGGAGGGAACATGGTCCCCAGTTTTTCATTCACGGTTTGTAGCGTATGGACTGCCAGCAAATTCATTTAGTTTGAAACCTTTGTGATATTCATACCAGGTAAGAACATGAAAAAAAAGTAATACCATGTATCACTTGTACCTCTTTGAGCACCGCGCTGGGCATATGGTATTTGTTGAATGAATGTTTTCTCTGAACGTCAACATGCAAACGCTATCATAAATCACTGTGACTGAATACCTTCTAACTACTAAAGTCAAAGAGTGACACTGAAACCATTTACAAGATAAACAGACATAATCCTGGCCATTTAGGATCCTATGTAAACTCAGGCAAAACAAAACTGTTTCTGATTACAGTAATCGTTCTGACTTTGGAGGTACCCCTCTGACAATATAATCAAACTTTTGAGCCTTTGACTTACAAAAATAGCCACAATTGGAGCCAGTCCACGGGCCTCAGGCTAATAGCTTCAGAAGAGGCTTGGGACCTCTTAGACGTGTCTGCCCCTACAGTACTCCACCACACTCAGTCCTACTGGGAAGATCCTGCACCCTCTCGTGGTAACGTCTTACCGTGGGTGCCTAAATACTTTCTTACAGGAGCTTCCCCAGAAGGATGCTAATTTTGTGGTTGTTTCTCTTGGATCTCCATGCCTCACCATCGCAGCTCCTGGGTCTGGAAAAAGAAACTCGATTTTAATTATCAGCCAGCGCAAGACACAATCAGAAAAGTAACTCGACAGCACACTCAGTGAATGAATGTGGTGCGGCACTGAACCGAGTACAGCCAACTCGCAGCGCACGTCTCTCTCCGTGTTCCGGAAAGCAGACAGTTAAAGCCGCGCACGCCGGTCGGGCGCAGGGCGGGTCGGACTTGTGCCAACCGCCCCCCGCCCCACCCCCCACCCCACCCCACCCCACTCCACCCCTGAGCCGCGGTACCTGGCCCGCCCTCCTCCCAGCTCCCGCACTCTTTCCGGAAGCCGAGCCGCCGCTTCCCGCGGAGTGGGCGGGGGCCGTGGGGAAGCTAGCGGCTCCGGGCCGGCCTCCACTGCAGCCTCAGCCGGAGCCGCAGGGACGCCGAGGAGGTTCATCCTGTTGAAGCCCGCGGCCCCGGCGATTCCTCCGAAGCCCCCCCCCCACGGCTGGTCCGCCACCCGATCGACTCCCCTCTCTCCTCGGGAAGCCCCCTCCCCTGACCCCCAGACATATGGCGTGGGCACTAGGACAAAGTCCGACCCGCCACAATTAGCCCAGAGCAGCGTCCTTACCTAGCCAGGTGTGAAAGTCCCGGAAGCCCCCGCGACAAGCCCCCCAGCGCAGCCCTCCAGCAGCTTCCCAACTCCCTGTCGGGGACCCGCCGCAGGCCGTCTGCGCCACTGCCTGATGCTTCTCAGTTATGTTTCTACAAAACTGTTAGCTCATAGGTGCTTAACTTAAGTACCTGTATCGTATTATTATGAAATAATTTAAATTAATTTAAACCTGGCTTGACTTATATGCCGTCACTTTTCGGCTGCGAACAGGCGAAAGCTCGGGCCGCCTTCTCATGAGGTCCTCTCTCCCAGAAGCTCCTAGGCGCTCCTCCCCTCGGAGCCCGCCTCTTCCCGTGGGCGGGGTTACCGGTCGGCGCGGCCGCCGTCGCGCCACTGCGCAGTCTCGAGAGGGCGGTACCACGGCGGCTGCGACATGGGGGGGCGCGGAGCAGACGCCGGAAGTAGCGGTGGTACGGGTCCCACCGAGGGGTACTCACCGCAGGCAGCGTCCACCCGCGCCGCGGCGAGAGCCAAGGCCCGAGGGGGTGGGCGTGGCGGCCGCCGGAACACAACACCCTCTGTTCCCTCAGCTCGCGGAGCGGCGCTGCGTCGCTCCCCTCCACCGGCTGCCATGAGCGAGCGCCTCCGCCCCAGGTGAGACCGCAGGGACCTCCTTCCTTCCCAGCCCCTCGCTGGGGGCTGGGGCCGAGGGAGCACGCGAAGCGGGGGTCCGAGCAAGCGTGGGCCCTGTGGGTCTCCATCTGGGCGCCCTACGGCCCCGGGGAGGGAAGAGAAGGATGCGCGAGTGGTCGGGTACCTGGTCTCTGAGGTGCTGGAGGAGTGACTCGCCAGGGTCCAAGTCTCCCCCCAACCCCATCTTTTTCCCTCTTGTATTTCCCTACTTGGAATGCAGTCTGAACGGTCCCGGAAGAGAGACAGTGGCCCTTGAAGCTTCCCTGTCCTAAATTTAGGAGGGTGGGGGGATGGGAGGAATGTCTGATCTTTGAGAGGGAGCCCCTAGGACGTCTTTGAGGGACCGAGGCTGGGAGCTGCCGTCTCCCCAAGGTCAGAAAGGATGGGGTTTAGCTCTGCAGTGGGGAAGGGTTGGGATAGATACTAGAATTTGTGCCCCGGACGGTTGTGAACATAGGAGGGCAGATGACCAAAGTGGCTTATAGCATAAACAGGCAGGATTCTAAACTGTTTGGACGCGGAGCCGTTTGACTCCGAAAGCGGGAGGTAGGATTATATGGCGATGCTCTACTTTCCGGTGAACCTTGACCTCAGGACCTGGGTTTTGACCTAGGGGTGCTATGCTTGCTTGACGTGTACAGAATAGAGTCCCGATCAAACCGCAATTTGTCTTTCTTTTCTCCTCCTTACGCCCTGTAAGACAGTTGGGGAGGAGAAAGTTGGGATTGGGAACCCCAAATGAAGCGGAGCAGTTTTACTTCAGATTAGAAAAATCGCTTTGTGGAAAACCTATAGATCACCAAGTCCTACACTTTCATTTTTCTGATAAGGAGACATTGAGGGAGCTCAGCAGGTTTACCCCAGTCTTTCCAGGTTCGCTGCTCTTTTCATTACTTCACGGTACTTTCAGTGAAGCTCTGCTGAGGCCAATAGGATTGCCTCGGTAGGTTATGCTGGATGTTTCCTCGTTCTGTATTTTCATTGGCTCTGATTGTACTGGGCAGTCTTTCCACAAGGATCCTGCTCTGGGGGATGGTCAGTTCAGGGATTAAGATTTTGGAAAGCATCTTGAGGTTGTTTGGTCTAATAGTGAGAATCTAGGGTCGCCCATACTTCTGCACTGGATTATTGATTTGGGTACACAGTGAGTGGGGCACAAAGCCTGCTCGTGTAGAGAACAAGAATGGTCTAAGTTTGAAATTAGGGGCCCAATGACCAACTTGCTGTTGGAATTAGAAACATAGGCTCCTGTGATGTCTCATATCTGGAAAAGCCTAAATAGTTCCTGCAGAAAGATTCCCTTCATCCGTTGCCGTATGCAGATCTAAATGTGCTTATACTGGTAGCCGATTTCTTTTACCTGGTACGCAAATAATCTCAGCCCGTTTATACTGCTGACTTCGTTGCCATAAAAGAAACCGTTTGATTTGGACAGGGGTTTCTTACCTCCTTGTCACCCCATGTTTCATGTACCAATTCCGCCAGCTCCCGCTAACATAATGTCTCCCAAGTCCAGTTTCTGGATGAAGCATTGGTCTGAGATGGTGGTTTTTCAGACTGTTATAAAATACACTGGGATAGCCACTGAGGGGTGGATGTAGGTCAAGAAAACCCCCACTCTAACCAAAACAGGTCCTTTGTCTCGTATATATTGACGTATTTTTGCCAACAGAAAGAAAGGGTTCTGTTACTTAAAAAAAAAAAAAAGTTTGAAAAACACTAGTTTCCATACTCAAGATTCCTCCTCCTCCTCCTGCTTCTTCTTTTTAAAGTTTATTTATTTATTTTGAGAGAGGGGGAAAGATAGAGAATCTCAAGCAGGCTCTGCACTAGCAGAGCAGAGCCTGAAGTGATGCAGGACTCAAACTTCCCAACTGTGAGATCATGACCTGAGCTGAAATCAAGCCTCAGGCACTTAACCGACTGAGCCACCCAGGCGCCCCTCTTAAGATTTCTTCTCTGCTCAGTCTCTAGGAGATGGCAGGAAGATTGGAAGGAAATGAGATGATGGACAGTGGTACAGTCAGCCATCCTTAGAAGTAACAGATGCTAAACAACAATCTGTAGCTAGATGCCTGGGGAGAATATAATCAATTATATGGTAGCTGCTAAAATTATAACCTGGTCTGTGGCATTAATGTAGAAAGCTATGATCTGACTGTGTGGCTAGAGTTGAACATGAAGCTATAATCTTGGCAATTATTAACGATTTTTGTTGAAAGAAGACTGTTCCAAGGACGGAATCTGCATGGAGCCTAGAAAAAGGAGAATGAAAACAGCAGGGCTCATTCTTAATCGGGTAGCATCCAGAGGAGAGGGCCCCCGACACGAGATCGTTCTGTTCTGGTACCTTGAGAAAGCAGCTGATCATGAGGCAGGGATATTTTCATGCGACTTTCCCAGAGTTTAGTTGAAATCCGCAAAAGCAGCCCATCCTCTTTGTTCCTACGCTCTTTTTGCTTTGCAACCTCCTTGACATTCATTTTCTTGTCCCTGGAAAGATACGGTCTGGATTATAAGTGAGGAAATGAGAAAGTTTGGGTCGGGCTCAGAAGTGCTTAGAGTGGCCCAGTCAGCTGCTGGCACATTAATAAGAGTTTGGGGACCAGCATACTGTCATTTGGTGAGAGTCCCACCTGTGTCAACTGGCCTTCCATCAGACCTTGCCCTGTAACTGTAGCTCTTTTCCAGAACAAATTCTCTGGTCATAGCTGGACGAAAATAGTAATTTCTTGGTTCAAATCTATGGTAATAGCACATCCATTTAAATTAGTTTTAAGCCTGCTTTTCACCTCGTTTTTAACCTGCAAATACTTCAAAGTAACGTGCAGGTAAGATCTAATGTCCTGAGAGAAAGTTAGGGAGCAGGAATGATGGTCTTAGAAGCAGTTGAGTCTGGGAATGAGGTAAATGGTGCAGCCCTTTGCTGGTTGGTTAATGCTTTATCAGCACCACACAGTCACAATTTTATCATTCCACGCCTAGATCTGTATTTATTAATAAAGCTAGATGTATTCAGAGTACAGGAATTTTGCAGAATACGGGAACTTGAGCTCGGGGTGGTACCTTAAATTTTCTCCGATATCAAGACTTCAGCTCAAAACCTTAGGATTACGGACGGGCCTGCCATGGTTTGCCGCACTGCTCGCGTAGAAAATGTGTGGCCGTACGAGATGCCACGTGCTCAAGTTCAGTACTTGCGCAAAAGCTGTTTTTCCCTCCAGCTATGGGAATGTGAATCTTTAAGAATTTTCATGGTAATACATTGTGCCGTTTCGTATCAATGGCCTCTTGCCAACACTGTCCATTGGTATTTTCTGTGGTGATGGGAATGTCCTCTGTCTGTGCTGTCCAGTACAGTGACCACTAGCTACCTGTGGCCTTTGAACACTGAGAATATAGCTAGTGTGACTAAGGAGCTGGATGGTAAATTAAATTTAATTTAACTGACTATATGTTATAATAATGTATAATCATAATATAACGATAGCTAGTGGCTCCTGTCCTGGACAGCACAATTCCAGGCAATTCGACTTAAAATAATACCTCCTTTAATTTATCTCTAACTTCTGTCTTCTAAACTGGGATTTAGAAGTCCTTCTAGAAGCACTTAATTCTTGCATAGAATACATACAAACTTTGTTGCACATCTGAGAACACTGGGGTAAAGGTGTGAATTTTTTTCTTTAAACCTGAGAATTTTGAGCAGCCTGGGTTCCAGACTCAAAGTAACAATCTGGTGAAGTAACGTGTCATAATACTAGGGGTGGTGTAGAGAGAATAATGGAGTTAATGTGTCCAAGAGCAGCCTTTCTAATGAATGTCGGGAAAAATGATCTAATACTTTAGAGGGCATTGAGCTTTTGTTTCATGTGATGATTGGGGGGAAGTCAGGGATGAGAGAAAACTGCACATCAAAGGCTACATGAACCTTTAATGATCCTCCTGCGTAGCATCCCAGTTTTATTAGGATTTTAGGGGTATGTGGGCAACGACAGCCCCTCCTGTCTTCCATGTTGTCCTATGGGAGGAGTAGGATTAGGTAACTTGAAACTGTGATTTCAGGAAACGTCGAAGGACCATAATCTTGATTAGGTGGAATTTGGAAGCTTAGTCATTAGCATCACCCTACTTTTATTTATTCCCAGTAGGCATTTAAAGTTGCCAAGCTTCTTTTTAGAAATCAGTTGTACTAATTTAAGCTCACCCTGCTGCTGCTATTTTGTATTTTTACTCTTTGTGCCCAACGGTAGTGTACTTTCAACTTTTTACCTATTGGGGTAGCATGCAAATTCTGTTTTCTCGGGTGAGAGGGTACATTTGTTGTGATTTACGATTTTAAGTGTCCAAAAGATCAACTGTCGGATTTTTTTTTTTTTTCTCGTAACTTGACTTCAGGAAAAGGAGAAGGAATGGCAGTGAAGAAGACCACCATCTTCCCCCACAGACCAAAAGGAGTAGTAGAAACCCTGTCTTTCATGAGTCCTGGGACACAGAGGTAGGAAGTGTGGTCAGAGTGTCTGCTGTTTCCATTGCTTGAACAAAGTCTAAATAACCCAGTTTCTTTGTGTGATTAAAATTATTCTTTGAATAAATAAAAGTGATTTTATTTGAGTGTAGTGGTTTCAACTTTTTTTTTTTTTTTTTTTTTTTTTTTTTTTTTTGAGTCACGGCCCCTTTGAGGAAACCGTGCACCCTTTCTCCATTGAAGAGTATATATGCACATACTAATATGTACACAGAGCACAAAATTTGTTACGAGTGTCATAGACCTTTGGAAATTCATCTTTGAGCTGTCTGGTTGATCTTTGAGAAACCAACTATTTTCTAAGTTTCTAAGCCATTAATCATCCTTAAGGCAAGTATATTGCTTTCATTCACATGAAATTCATGTTTAATTTTATTCATGAGAAACTGTGTAAGCATTCAGAATATGCCATGTGTGTGTATGCAAAATACTATTTTTAAGTGTTACTACTTTTTTTTAAAGTTTATTTATTTATTTTGAGAGAGAGAAAGAGAGCGGGGAGGGGCAGAGAGAGAGGGAGAGAGAATCCCAAGCAGACTCCGCACTGTCAGCACAGAGCCCGATGCAGGGCTCACACTCACAAACTGTGAGATCGTGATCTGAGCCGAAATCAAGAGTCGGATGCTTAACCGACTGTGGACACTGCCACCCAGGCGCCCCTGAGTGTTATTCCTTTTTTATCGTGTTCTAAAAGGACTCCTGTGGGAGGCAGGGTGGTGGGGAGAGAGAGGCGTGAGGGGGAAAGAGCTCCCGAAGTTTTGGTTTCCCAACAAGAGAGCTCCATTCTGCATACCACAGGGAGCGTTTTGGTGCAGTTGAAAGGCTGCTCTGCAGAGGGAAAGGAGGGCAGCTAGCATTTAAGTGACGCCTCTGTTAACTTACACACTGGAAAATTGTGACCCTTGAGTTGTCACCCTGACGAGAAGCTCCTCCCCAGCACAGATCCCTAAGCCTTAGCCTTATAACTTAAAGCAGAGCTCTGCATATTACAGTTTTTGTACCACCGAAATAATTTGTACTTTAAACAGTCCTTGATAATAGGATTTGACCTACATCCGGTCCTTACCAGAAATCCAAAGCTCTCCCAAGGGGGGAAAGCCAGTTAACTCTCACATAGGTCCTACACGACTAGGAGCAGTTCATGAACAAGTGTGGGTGGGATCTTTTTGTGTGGGGATGTGAGTTTCTGTGACTTCTCTCCCCCTTTTAAAAATCCTCTGTTATGCTTTCTTTCCTTTTTCTTATGTTTTTAAAAATGATTCGCAGAGGGGCGCCTGGGTGGCGCAGTCGGTTAAGCGTCCGACTTCAGCCAGGTCACGATCTCGCGGTCCGTGAGTTCGAGCCCCGCGTCGGGCTCTGGGCTGATGGCTCAGAGCCTGGAGCCTGTTTCCGATTCTGGGTCTCCCTCTCTCTCTGCCCCTTCCCTGTTCATGCTCTGTCTCTCTCTGTCCCAAAAATAAATAAACGTTGAAAAAAAAAATTTAAAAAAAAAAAAAATAAAAAAAAAATAAATGATTCGCAGAAAAGTAATTGAGCTTTTGTGTAAGGCGATAACTGGAGGGGGCAAGTGAAGCAGAGCTTAGAGAGGCTCCCACGAGCATTCAGTGATGAAACTGTGACGGTTGACTTTCCATCATTCTTTGGATTAGAAGTCTGTTAAAAGAGCACGCAGTGAGTGCTTTCACTGTATCTGTCCACTTCAGTGTTTCTTTCCTTGTGTCTGTGTGCACATCCTGCTGAGTGAGGTTTGTTAGCTCAAAGGTACAGTCGGTCTGACTGTATTGATCATTTGCCCTGTATTTACAGTGGTGATGCCTGAGAATAGGAATATAAATTGTCATTAAAAGCAAAAGGAAACGCTTTGATCTCCTATTTTCACTAAGACTCTTAGTATTTTTGTATTGCTTTGTTTTAATCGCTGTTCGTAGAAAATGATCTTTCTTCCCTTTCGAAAACCTGGGCATTGGTATCACAGAGGCAAACAACGTATTGTTACTCAACCTCTTGGTTCATGTGTCTTGTTCTTACTTGTTCAAAGACATGGAGTGGATAAACTGCTCTGTAATCATTGGTCTGAAAGATGGACCAGCTTGCCTTTGTTATAATTAACAGTCAGTACAGGTACTTTTTATTTTTCACGGTAATCTAAGCTCCCTGGTAGACCTCGCACGGAGGGTTCTGACCATTCCTTCCAGCCCTGCCGACCAAGCAGTTACCGGCTCTCTGCATGGGTGGCCGCTTGTGCTCTGCTTCTCCAGAGGCGGGGGATTAACAAGTAATGAAGCTGAGTCAACCTAGGGAGGGCTAGAGAAGCAAAAAAGCAGGGGGAAAACCTTTAAAGTGGAAAGTTGAGCCCTAAATAATTGATTGGATCATCACCACTGGAATAGATTGTTAGTTATATTTATAGCACAAGAATATCAAGTTTAGGGGCACTTGGCTGCTTTTTGACAATAGTGTATAAAAAGGAAAATAAAAAAATGATTCATTAGTGGATTATTTTTGTTATTTCATATAGTCACATATTAATGAAAATGTTATCTTTTAATTCTAAGGTTGGGCCAGTGAGGTAAGTTTTCTTAAGACTAACTCAGTGAAGAGAAACCGTTTCTTGTGTTTTTCCTGAAATACTTAAGTAATTTTAGAGTTCTTTTTCTTGTGACTTGAAGAGCTTTTATATGGAAGGAGTTTACTTTTTTTTTAATGTTTGTTTTGTGAAAGAGCACGCGAGCATGAGTGGGGGGGGAGAGAGAGAGAGCGCGCGCGTGCGTGCATGCATGCATGCGTGAGAGAAAGAACCCAAAGCAGGCTCTACGCTGTCAGCTCAGAGCCCGACGCGAGGCCTGAACTCACGAACCATGAGATCATGACCTAATTAAGCTTCAAAGTAGGATGCTCATTCTTTTTTTTTTTTTTTTTTTGCAGGGAAAATTGAGGGGAAAAAAAAAAAAAAAAAATAATAGTATATAGGTGGCTCAGTTGGTTAAGCATCTGACTTGGGCTCAGGTCATGATTTTTTGATTTGTGGAGTTCCATTTAATATTAGGGGCTCTGTTGTCCTTCAGAGCCTGAACTTCTTTGTGGATCCTTTGTCCCCCTCTCTGTGCCCCCCCCCCCCTTGGCATGTACACTCTCTCTCTCTCTCTCTCTCTCACTCAAAAAAATGAACATTAAAAATATTAAAAAAAAAAAAAAGTCGGATGCTTAGCCAGCTGAGCCACCCAGGCACCTCGGAGTTTGCTTTAATTCTAAGAGAGAATTAAAGTTTTTTATAATTAATTTTCAGAAGTTCTGTTTTTCTCCTAATGTAATCATATTGCCCAGTACCGGGAAATAAGATGTGAGGTGTTTGAATTATGTATGCCAGAAGTAAATCGCAGCTACTTCTGTAAAGTAAAGATAGTATACACCTCTCTTCCTAGATACTGTGAAGGTGAAGAATGTGGACTGACTTGCCTGATTAGTTCTGTAAAGAGAAACTTTTAGTCTACTTGTCCATTTTCTTCCTGTCATTTTTGTAGGTGCTATCTCTGCTTCACAGATGGGAAAATTGGGGCACAGAAAAAGAAAGTGGTTTGCCCGGAGATACACAACTAGTAAGAGGCAGGGTCGATGATTCCAGAGCTTGGCTGGTGAGCTCCTTGCTCCTAACCATGGTACGTGCCGTGTCACAGAATACCGGACGGAAGTTCTGAGGGATTTTGCTAAATATATCCAGAGGCAGCTTAGGTCCTAGACTTCTCTCAAATCATAGGAACAAGAAGAATGTTTTTCCTCCTCCTGTCTTTTAGCTGGAAAATACTTTTCCAGGTTAATGCTGTGATACAGTATTAGCGTGAAAGCACTTTTAGATCTCTAGTTAGAAAAAGCGAAGAACGGGAATCTACTCCCAAAACCAAGAGCACACTGTATGTTACCAACTTGATGATAAGTTATATTAAAAAAGCTAGATCAGATGGATCTACATCATCAACCTGATAATAAATAGCTCTTTCAAAACCTAAAAAAATAAAAAAAAAAATACTAAAGAAAAGGTGAAGGAATTGGGGTCTAATGGTTTTTTCAAAATTCTAATTGGTGTTTGAAACAAAGACCTTAAATTTTAACTCCAGCGACTTAGATTTAATGACTTGTGGGCCTGAGGATACTATTAAAAAAAAAATTTTTTTAATCTTTATATTATTTTTGAGAGAGAGATAGAACGTGAATGGGGGAGGGACAGAGAGAGAGGGAGACACAGAATCTGAAGCAGGCTCCAGGCTCTGAGCTGTCAGCACAGAGCCTGACACGGGGCTCAAACCCACAAACCGTGAGATCATGACCTGAGCTGAAGTCAGAAGCTTAACCAACTGAGCCACCCAGGCGCCCCTTGAGGATACTATTTTAAAATTGATATATAGTTTACTGGTATGGGAACCAATTTTTTTGTAACACCATGCTAGATGAATTGTTTTAGTTAATATAGAAGTCAGGTTCATTTTTCTGTTCATTGAGTGAAAAGTGAAATCATTTGTCAATTTGTGTCTTCCTATTGGGTCCCGTGGAAAGGCAGTGACATTCCCTGATCTTGGACAATTATTTGGATGGGTAAAAACTAGCTACATTTAAATTTGTTCTCTTAGGGTCTGGCCTTTTTGGTTTGAATTTTATCTTAATTTGTAGTAATGCTTTTTGCTTTCAGTTTCAATATCTTTATTTACAAATTACCTTAGACGTTTCCACATAAATCTGGCTTCTGTTACATAGGATATAAAAGGTGCTGCTACCTGAGTAAATAGAAGCAGTACATCTTTTAAATGCAAAGACCTAGGTTTGTGGGTTAAAAAAAAATTTTTTTTTTTCAATGTTTATTTGAGAGATGGAGAGAGACAGAGCATGAGCAGGGGAGGGGCAGAGAGAGAGGGAGACACAGAATCCGAAGCAGGCTCCAGGCTCTGAGCCGTCAGCACAGAGCCCGATGCGGGGCTCGAATTCATGAACAGTGGGTGAGATCATGACCTGAGCCGAAGTCAGACACCCAACGTAGCCACCCAGGTGCCGCAGTTTGTGGGTTTTTTAAAAAAATATCTTTAACTTACCAAGATCATTTTAATTTTTAGATCACTATAAAGTATAACAAGCAGAGAGAGAAAATGTGGAAGAAAAACGAAGTGGCTTACTTTGAGCAGCCTCTGTCCTTTTTTTTGGGGGGGGGGGTCTCTATTAGAAAGGGAAAGTTTTCATGTCATAACTCTAAAATCCCAGGGATACTCTTGGAGTGCAGAGATGTGACAAAAAAGTAACCAGGGGAACCCATGTGTCATTACAATTAGGATTCTCTCAATCCATTTATCTGAACTGGTAAGAATTAGTTGAATATTAGGTTATCTTTTTTAGTAGTGTGAAGTTCGAGGACAGTGGGATTCTTTAGTGTAATTTTTAAAAAAGTATCTTAAATTTCTTAGTTTTGCCCATTCTCATCTTCAGTCTGTTGTAGGGTAGCAGGTGCATCCTTAGAGATGGAAGGGTTTGGGTGAAACTTAGGTGTGTGTTGTGTTTAAAATCCTGTAGCAGATGAACTCTGAAATTAACTTCTAAAACAGTCCATTTAAAATGGAGTAACAGGGACGCCTGGGTGGCGCAGTCGGTTAAGCGTCTGACTTCAGCCAGGTCACGATCTCGCGGTCCGTGAGTTCGAGCCCCGCGTCGGGCTCTGGGCTGATGGCTCAGAGCCTGGAGCCTGTTTCCGATTCTGTGTCTCCCTCTCTCTCTGCCCCTCGCCCGTTCATGCTCTGTCTCTCTCTGTCCCAAAAATAAATAAACGTAGAAAAAAAAATTAAAAAAAAAAATGGAGTAACAAGCCTTTCAAAAGTTAGTCTGATTTTTAGCATACATTTTAAGAAACTTTGCCCCTGGTTTAAGTCCTTGAAGTGTTTGTAATACATCATGTCAGCTCACAGCACAAAAAGCTGCAACAAGTGGTTTCTTACTGACATTGAAGGCCAAGTTTGTTAAGTAATGAGACTACATACACACATTTTTCTATAGGTCAGGATTATTTTTTGGCCTGTTGAAATTTAAACAAAATGAAGTGATAGATTAATAGAACATTTTAGTTAGGAAGGAACTTAAAACATCTGGTGTGGTCCAACTTCATTTTATAAAGGAAACTGAGACACAAAAAGGACATACTACCTGTCGAGCGGCACAGAAGAGTGACCACCTGCATTTTCTTTCCTTGCATAGTTAGAAAGTGGTTTTAATTAGCCCGCTGAATTCATTTGGAATCTTATGGTCTCGCTGACAGTAGCAGACTTGGAGCTCTCTTAAAACATTGGGCACTTGGGAAACAGAAGTTTCCATTAGATGCTCTGATAGACTTGGCTAGGGTCCCTCACTCCAGATTCTGCAGTGGAGTTAGAATGCACTCCATCATGACCCAGGAAGGGAGTGTGTGTGCAGTGAGCAGGAGTCCTTTGGTCTTCTGAGGCTCACATAAATTTAAAAGCAGCAGTGAATGGGGAGATGGAGGTGATGGGAAGCTGGGGGCTGAAAGAAAAAAAAATATGTAGCTAGTCTGCTTTTCTAATTGAGAAAGCAGGGTTCGCCTTGGTGGCTTGGTTAAGCGTCCAACTTCGGCTTAGGTCATGATCTCCTAGTTTGTGGGTTCAAGCCCGGCAAGGGGCTCTGCACTAACAACGTGGAACCTGCTTGGGATTCTCCCCATCTCTACCCCTGCCCCACTCAAGCTTGCGTTCTCTTTCTCTCGAAAGAAAGAAAGAGAAAGCATGCAGCTCTAAATAATAGATAGGCACAAATATTCTGGTTCTCTCTTTATGAAGCAGAGAGGCTCAGTAATTAATATTCCTGCTGGAGGGCTTTCTAAAGATTATTAGCAGGAACAGTCTTCAGAGTTGTTTTGTTTCTACCATAGGTATACATGGGTGAGCTCTGAAACTGACTTCACCTGCTGGGAAGATGGAACCTAGGGGTAGGACGAGCTGAGGGGCCGAGAGTTCTTGACTCTCCGCTTTATTATTTGCGCCCTGGGGACTGAGAAAATGAGCTTAACATTCCTGTCCTGTGTCAGGATTTATACTCTGCCTTTCTGTGTCTGCTCTACCTCCTGAAAGCACCCCCCCCACCCTCCCGCCCACTATGCCTCCCTGCTCTGCATCTCTCTAGTGTCGTCTCACCCCCCGTCCTCTCACGAGCCCACGAAGGTGCCTTTCCTTGCAGATCTCCTCGCTGCCTGGCCCACACCCGTACCGCTTCCTTCCCTTTCCCAGCGGCTGTCCGGTACCTTCAGCCCAGCTGGCGCTGTCCCACTGTCTTCCGTCCTCTCCGCTCCGTGTCCCGGCTTCTTCCCCGACCCCCTGAAAGTTCTCTCAGGGCTCGCCCGTGCTCTTTCCATTCCACAGACACACACTGAGCACGGTATTTGCCAGGTTGGACGTCTCCTTCATTTCCTCCTTCCATCTCCCTGTGGGCTGTGACACACATTACCTTTCGTGTACATTGCCGCAGTTCTCCTGGGACCTGCTTTCCTGTTTGATGCAGAATCCTCACTCCTGAGGGTAGATCTGGGCAGAATTAGGTGCAGACCTCGGGGCGCTGGATCCGCCAGCCATAACCTCTCACGGATGTTTTGTCTGACCAACTGCGCCCGCAGTGGCCCAGCCCCACCACACTATTAGCTTTGCTCCCCGAACACTCCTTCCTTCTCATTTTGCTCTTCCTGTGCTCCCAGTTCGTCACAGCTTGCTTACTAAAACTCTTCCTCCACCTTCCCGGCCCACTTCAGACACTGTTCATTTCAACGAGCCTCTCCTAATTCTTCACCTGCTGCGGGGTTCCCGTTGCCACAGGAGCATGACAGTACGATCACTATCCGCGGCTGTAGGTGGTTTTCACTTTTTAGTATTACAAACAAGGCCAGGCCAGACATTTGTGTACCTGTCTTTATAAAGTTGGTATAAACCAGGGGCACCTGGTGGCTCAGTCGGTTAATTGTCCAACCTTGGCTCGGGTCATGACCTCACAGTTCGTGGGTTCAAGCCCTGCGTCGGGCTCTGTGCTGACAGCTCAGAGCCTGGAGCCTGCTTCGGATTCTCTGTCTCCCTCTCTCTGTCTGCCCCTCCCTTGCTCATGCTCTGTCTCTCTCTCAAAACTAAACATAAAAAAATAAAGTTGGTATAAACCATGTCTTTATGCAAGAGTTTTAAAAGGGACTAGAAATCACAGGTATGTTTGTCTCCCTCACCCTTTTTCAGTATCTTATGTGACCCATTTTAAAGAGCTTTTACTTTTTTGCAGCATAGTGTCACCTTTGCTATTATAGTGTGAAATAAAATTTGAGATGGAAACTTGACTTACTACAAACTGATTCTAGTTCTTGCCTTAATTTTCAGACAGTACCTGTAACGAAAAACAGTAAAGAAAACAGACTAAGAGGAAACAAAGTGTTCTGCGCGGTGGGTTTCTTATCTAGTGTAGTAACTGACTTGTTAAATAGCCATGGCCTTACCAGGTGCAGGAGAGCCGCACGTGTGGGCTGCTCCACTCTAGATTAGGAGGGGCCTTAATGTAAGAAAACAATTTTTGGTTTTGAATCGTATTTGACTTCTTAAGTCTTTTAAGTAAATTTAACCAGTGCTGTAGCTAACCGTACCATCTGACTCCATTCAGTCCATTTTATAATGCTTTCATGTTTGTGTTTTTCTGTAGACAGATAGCTTGTCTTTTACTATCTGTCGGCAGTGGGATATGTGACCTGTTAAATAGCTCAAGATGACTTCTGGACCATGATGATTCTTGCTTTAAGTGTTATTAATAATGGATATCTTTCATGGACATTGCATTCTCTGCTGTTCTCAGATATGTTTACGTACCTACTGTTAGGTGTAACTTTTGATCAAAAATGGATAAACTAGTCTAATTTTGAAAATCACTTTTCGAGTTCTGTCTGGAAACATTATTGAAATATTTATTTTTATAATGAAAATACACAATAACCACATTGCAAGAATGTGATAGTAAAGGGTAGGAAAAAAATAAGCAGCTTCAGTCCCTCCATCCTAATATAACTACCATGGCCAGTTTTTCTCTAGTCTTTTTTTCTGAGGTGCAGATTTTACACAGCTGTATGCAGACTTTTCAAAACCAAGGACTTTGTGTAAGGGAGCAGGAGTTAGATGTATCAAACGACTTAAGTTAAGAAAAAGCATACACTAGATCATTATTAGAACTCTGTCTTTCTCCTGCATCGATTCTTTTCAGTACAGTATCGTATTGAGTTGTGAATGGAAGAAGGGTACTGCTAGTCATTTATTTGAAATGCAGTATTTAAATTGTCAAATATCAGAATTCTGAAATGGATTCTTACCATTGACTTCCCTTTTGAGAACCCTAGCTCTTAGGGATCTCTGACTAGCTTCTTCAAGACAAGTAAGACATCAAGTCATGTTCGCTACCTTAAAAATTAGGCACCCTTGTGCATGCTTGTGCATGTTTGCCCACACACATCTGGAGCTGCAGAAATGCTACTGTAACTTAGAAGAAGTATGTTGTAGTCTTTCAGGATGTGTGTTCTGCATCCAGGGGATACCATTTTGTGTCCATGAGATGATAACCAGGAAATTGTTCCAGATTTTTTGAGACTTGTGCCCAGAAGCCATTTTATTTGTTAATGACGTCTGTCCCCTGTACCAGTGATTGATACTTTGCCTTGGAAGCTGAACACTTCCTCGTTTGATGATTGGACATTATCGGAATGAACGATAAAATTCGCAGGTAGAGAAGATGTGTAAAGGCACTCGGGTGTAGTGGAGAGGGTTTGCGGTCAGAGGCCTGCACTTGAATCCTGGACCCTGCCGCTTCTGGGAATGTGATGGGGATCTTGGCCCCACTCAGCCTCCCGTGGTGGTCGTGAGGATAGAACGAAGTCTCCTAGGTGACTGTGCTTTGTGAAGCTCTAAAGCCCGCGGTCTGTTTTGATGCTGGCGCTCCTCAAAGCAGATGGCAAGAATACTCTCAAATAGGGTGTTGGGAATGAAACCACGGTGAAGTTCCGAAGAAACAAAACAGCCTAACGGAGCTCCCGTTTCTTTTTCCTCCCAGTCTTCGAGCAGCGATAGCGGCGGCAGCAGCAGCAGCAGCATCAACAGCCCGGACAGGGCAAGCGGGCCGGAGAGCAGCTTGAACCACATGGGCGCCGGGTCCGGCCCTAACACCCCTCAGCCTGTTCCTGAGCAGTCTGCACTGTGCCAAGGCCCTTACTTCCGCATCAACCAGACCCTGAAGGAGGCCCACTTCCACAGCCTACAGCACCGGGGACGGCCTCCGACATGATGTGCCGGCAGTTTCTTGCCTTCTGTGAAGGGACAGCGCTGTGCAGATTTGATATTTCAACTTACGATGTTTTAAAAAATTGCACAAAAATATGCCTGTTGGCTTTTCAGTCTATATTTGAAAGAGCAGGTTAACAGGCAGTTGTTTACTTGTGGTTTTGCTGCACTATTGCAATTTCAAAGGGGCTTCGAAGCAATTTTTTATAGGATTCTTTTGAGGGTGGGTATCACATCCATGTCGAGGTAACGGTATGAGGAAATCTCATCTGCGTGTTGAATCCATAGTTTGTCCAGTTCAGATTGGTTTCCAAATCTGTCAATTAGAAATTCTACTTCATGTAAAAAGGCCTTTTAACAATGCGGGATCTTCAATTTTTTAAATTCAATAAATCAGCAAAGAGTATCTAGTTTCCATGAAAAAAACCTAAGTTTTTTTTTCCAAAATTTAGAAAGCTTGATTCAGTCTTGCACTGAAATTAACTGCCATACTACCTCTTAGTATGTAGACATCCTGTTGAAAGTACGCTGTCCTTTCTAACAGGAGAACAATCAGATCCAAGTTAGACCGCGGAAGGGAAGCACCCTTGCTAATAACCATCTTCTCTCTTTGTTATATATTTGTATTTCCAGAGAGAATCTCTTTCAGACTTGTATACCCAGATAACTTCTGCTACCGTTACTCCTCCAAAGCCTACATCTCAGACTTAGTAGAAAACACTGCACAGATCTGACAGTCGAGAAGTACATAACGAATGACCTTTGTCTTACTCACAGACTTGTTCTGCCAGCAGCTTCTGTGATCTCACTGGGAGTCCGCCTTGGGGGTCAAGAATTCAGGCGCTGCTGAACGCTGACCAAGTGTAGGCTCTCTGAACTGCTGTCTGAAGTCACAAGTATCATGAAACTGTCGGACAAGGATTCACTTTATGCTTAAAGCAAACCCCCAACAGTAATTCGGGGGCCACATTCCACCGCTGAAACTGGAAAGACTGGTGTGGCTTAGAAATAAATGAGCAGAGGCACCGTTAGAAGAAGTGATGTAGTATTTATTTAGAGAGGGATGGCTATGTTCCCACGTTATTTAGTCATACTAGAGAGCCAACCTAGCTTGAATAACGAAGGCGTAGACGCGTCTTCTTCCTCACTGACCAGCTGTCTGAACAAGGAGCCAGGGTGCGTCGGGTCACCTGCTCGGGAGAGTGCCGGGGGGCCAACCTGCCACGCATGTAGAGGAAAGTGCCTTAGAGTCTACCCAGACCCTCCTGCCTGTTCACCCCCCGCCACTGCACTCGGAGTCCACACAGCACACACGAGCAGATCTGAGAAGCACGGAGAGCTCTAGGAAGGGGCCTTTGCTCTTTGTCAAGATTGGCAAAGGCCTTCGGGGACAAAATGCGATTCTATTATGTGACACAACTAACGCTTCCAGGTGAGAACTCTCCTGGGAAAAGGGTAAACATATGTACCTCCTTTCCCTGGTCGGTTCCTCTCCTACGGACAGGACTTACGGTCAGTTACTTGAAGAGACATTCCGAGTTCGGGGGGGAAGTTCTGGCACAGGCCCATGCTCGTGGAGGGGATGGTCTGTGCAGGAACTCGTTCTCTTCACTACCATCTCCCACATTTGACAACCAGATGTTTGATGAGAATCTGGGTCTTAATGGGTTTGATGGCGGGGAAGATGGAAAGGATACGTTGCTAATATTTTGTCTCACAAGAAAGCAAACACAACTAAATGCTGAAAGAAGACAAGCTGTTTGGGCTCAAACGCGTGTACACAACACAACTCAGAAATACCCAGGAGGACTCTTGTGGGCTTAATGGATGGCAGTCAACTGAAACAAAACGCGCATTAACAAGAAAATGTCAAACTCAGAGCAAATTCCCTTTAATTTCCCACCCAACTGAAAGAAATGGAAGAGGAAACCACCACCAGAACAGAATGGTTTCTTCCCCCAAACAAGTACAGTCATCACGCTGGGTTAGCAGTTAACTCTCTCACCCTACAAGAAATAATCTCCATCCTGTCCTGCCTCTTTTTTACAGCCTTGGCAGTCTGAGAGAACGTTCCTATTATGAGGCTACTTGACAGTGTAAATGGGCATCTTTTAAAACTTCTATCAGCTCGAGCTAGTGAAACCTTGTACTTCTCTATTGCGCCGCCATTAAAAGCAGCATTAGTGCATTTTGTCATTCGGTTCTTTATCGGTTATTTAAGGGGGAGCTAATTGGGTGGTTTGGTGGGAGGTGGGGACAGGATCAACAGGGGTGAACCCCTCACTCTGTGCACTAACCTGGGTTTTTGTTTCGATGCTTCTGCTGGTTGATTTGGCCTTTCGGGTACTTGTCATGCTCAGTGGAAGAAGTCCGAACCTCCAAGACAAGGTGAAGGAATTTCAGGGGCATGAACAGGAAGCTTCGGGGCCCGGCTAAAACATCTTTAGAACCATTACCTGATCTGACTCGATGCCAGAGGCAGTATGTTATGGGGTTCTTGGGAGTTGAACGTGTTGCTCCTGGGCGTGAACTGATTCTCTGTACCAGTGACCAATCCAAACAGAACCTGACAGACGAGAAATGGAGCGCAGTAACACGCCGGGTTTTTTACTGTCCAGTTGAAAAGAGAAAAACCCCTGGCTAGGAATCAAGCTCTACTTTGTTTCCGTCCAGCCTTTTGGGGAACGTTCTTTTGAGTGTTAATGCTTCAAAATTACCTTTTTCACTGCCCACGGGTCAGAACCTTATAGTCACATGGCTCTTTTACTTCATTCTCTTCCTGAGGCCTTGACCTTCATAAAACCTTAATAATCCTTATCTGCGCCTCCAGGGGTCAGACCGTGGTTGCCTCAGCAGTGGTTTTATCTAATCCTCTTTTGGCCCTTATAACTAAACTGTGTGGTTTGGGTCCCGCCCCCCTCCCAGCACCACCTCCAGGGTATTAAGTGCAGAGGCAGGTTTGCGTGGTAACCTGAGCCCGCGCGCGCTTTCACACCGAGCACGTTTCTCACGTGACTTACCGAGGTTCGCTGCGCCAGCCGCGTGAGGTTGCTGTTGAGGTGTGGTGTGAAGACATCCAGGTCAAACGGGTCAATGAGTGTTTCCAGGGAGTCGGCCACTTTCTCAATTCTGAAAAAAGGATTCTGATTTCCTTTACCCAGTTTTCTAGCTCAGAACCCCCCCTTAAGGCGATTCGATGCTAAAGAGACCCCGTATTTGGACGTAGTTGTAACTGCTGGCTCGGGACCACCTGTCACTGCCCGTGGTACTTGAAGTGATCCCAAGAGCTTCCACCTGCTAAGATGTCTGAAGTCCATTCCTTCCTCACATTGTTAGGGTCAGCGCCACAGGCTCAAATTCTGCCCAAGAGCTGGTTGGCTGACTCAGAGGAGAGAGGGATGAGATTCCACCTACCACACTTGACCATGGCATTTACCCAGCAGGTGGCTATTCTTTATCTAGCTGGTAATATGAGCACTTCCTGTTTAAAACGAATACAACCAATGCACGACGAGAGGCTGCCTCATGGGGGCTTTCTGGAACGGGCTGTGTGCACTTGGGAGAGCCCGTGGCGGGAGCCTACCTGGAGTCCTGCTTGCTGCGGCCACTCTTCACCTCCTCACCCCTGGCTGTCAGAATGATGCTGAGATAGCGCAGATCATAAAGCAGCTGCAGGGCCCGATTCTGGGTCATGGGGAACGCACCTTCTTTCTGTAAGTGAATATCCCACCCCCACCTGTTAAGGGAGACTTGTGATATGAGCCAAATAAACAGCTTCATGCTTTGAGTTACAGCTTATTCCAGAGGCAGCCGCTTTTATATTCATGAGGGCAGTTCAGTCTCACAACACCAACAAAAAGAACAGGTTATGTTCGAAAGTTTGTCTTAAACCAAACTAAAAACCTTAAAGGCCTTGGGGGCTATAGACTGCCCTTTAAAAGGGGAAAAAGCTCCTTGTGTGAAGGAGAGGCATTCTGAGGCAGCTCAGGAGAGGAGACTTCGCTGAATTCTTCCCCAAATCAGGAGGTGGTCCTGTCTTTAAAAAAAATTTTTTTTAATCTTTATTTATTTTTGAGAGAGAGAGAGACAGAGTGTGAGCAGGGGAGGCTCAGAGAGAGAGGGAGACCCAGAAACTGAAGCAGGCTTCAGGCTCCAAGTTGTCGGCACAGAGCCCGATGTGGGGCGCGAACTCACGAACCCAGTGAGATCATGACCTGAGCTGAAGTCAGATGCTTAACTGACTGAGCCACCCAGGCACCCCGGTGGTCCTGTCTTTAAAATGTCACTAATGAAACCGGGACATCAACCGAGGGCAGAGCGCTCCAGAGAAGGGGAGGGTGGGTGGAGGGCTGGGACACAGGAGCTCCCGGAAGCCGGTACCTCTGTGTGCCACATGCTGCGCTGGGCATGGTCCCCCTCCACCCCTCCCAAGCAGCTCTCTGAGTGACCGCACCTGACTCCGGAGAAACGGAGAAAGTGTCACAATTTGCCCAAAGCCGCAGCATGTACTTGGCAGTGCTGGGGTCGGAAACCAGGCCTTTTTTCTTTCCCACTGAACTGCCTTCTAGTGAACACCTGCTTGATCCTCGAGAATGGGTGTGATGAACTCACGGCGCGGGAAGCCGCTACTGATTAGACAGCCCGTGCTGAGTGTAAACGCTTGGAATCCTTGATGGGAACTGCCCAAGCCCCAGAAAAAGCTAAGGTGTTTATTTCTGTTTTTAGCGGGGAAAAAATTCAAACACCAACCTTCACCTGTTTTTCTTCTGAAAGTTTCTCATAGGCAGCCACCACCTGGACCATACAGCTTTTCAGCATCTCCTGCAGGGTCACTTTTGGCAAAGCGTGGCCTCCAACCCGGTTAATTTCCTGGCAGAGGCTAAACAGGAAGGACTGGACATACCAGGATGGCTAAAAGAACAAAGGGACGTCGAGTCACCAAGTTGCGCCAGTTGGTAAAAGTGGCTCCGTTTATCCCTACTAGGCTCATGTGCCGGGACCTTGACCCTCCAGTCAGCCCCTCACAGCAGGCCCGGCAACAGATACAAGTGACAATCGCTGCCATCCCCACGGTGGCCGGGGGCTTGGCCCGGCAGGTGGCACTGTGCTTTACGCTGTTTTCACTTTAGGGTAAACAGCCGTCTAATGAGCAGAGCCCGGGACACACAAGGAAAGGATCGTTAAGTGACTGACTCCTCGGCCCTCGGTCCACTCTACCCCCATGATGGAAGTTATAAATACCACTTCCGGCTCTTCCTCAGAAGCCGTGTGCTGACTGATTTTCTCGTCTTTTCCCTCTCCGCAGAGTGGGCTGTTTGACCCTGTCCAGGCCACAGGTGCTCCAATGGGGGCACCTGCTAACCTGTGTAGGGAGTCGGATTGTGGACATGATGCAGCTGCCAGACTCCGCTTCCTCCTGGATTTCTAGTTCATCCCAGCTGGTGGCTGTGGCCAGGATGGAGCCGGCATCGTCTAGAAGTAACGACTGGGTGAATCCGTGAGCCAAAACCTGGTAATAAGAGGCAAATGTCCAATAGGCCCCTTAGCTCCTCCATAGAGCGTTTCAAGCCACCAGGGTAATCTCGAGACCAGCTTCTGCTGCTTAGATCACGTGTGCCCTGCTGAGTGGAAACGTCACTCTTGGGCTGATTCCGTGCGGCAGTAATGGGAGTTTTGTTGTAACTACCCTACAGATGTCAGCGGCCACCCCTTAAGATGCCAGTGGGGACCCCAGAGAACATGATACTCAGGTTGAAGAGCAGGAAATACAGACCCTTGCCCCGAGAGGTCTTTCTTTTATTCTTATCAGGGGGCAGGAGAAAAAGCCGGTGTTTCTGTCTCTAAAACCTAGGCTAAAAATGTGAACGGAGAAATGTGTACGCGAGAGCCATCTCACTATCGCAGAGAAGTAAAAGTAACTGCGTGAAATAAGAATCATTTCTCCCTTACTGCGGAAAGCCCTCGCTGAGGCTGGCCAGCCTGGAACGTGACAGAAGGGAGGCAAACGGGGTCGCCGCTGAGCACGGGAAGAACCCGCCGACGG